TATTGAATCTTTAGCTCTCAGCTGCATTTGTTAGCTCCAGCACTTCAAGCTCTCGCTTTTTCTCCTAATGGCTACTAAACAATTACTCAAGGAAAGGGTTAGGGTGGAATGTACCCATTGTGTAAGCAAAGCTAACTTGTCCCTGAGATCAGGCACACGTTTCCAGGCAGCCTGTCTTATTCAGCTGGTGCTTAATGGGAGCTGTGACCATAAACAGGGGGACGGAATCTGTTTTTGACACGCACCTGTGAATTTGTCCTGTAGTGCTAGCTCCCAGGCAGCAGCGTTTTTAGTAAGAGGAACTGGAGTGAAGTGGATGATCTGAAGGGTTTTAAGCCGTTTTTGAGAAGAAGATAAATTACTGCTGGAAGTGCTCTGTGTGTGTGCTGTAGCTCTCAGCACAGCGTTTCAGCAGTCGGCAGCAGCACCTTGCTTCCGAGTGTTTTCTGCCTCTCTTCTGTGTGCATGCCTATCTTTAGTAAGTGAACAAAGGTTACAGAGGGGAGATCTGTCATGTGAGTCTGTCTTTGTGAAGGGGAAAGGTGCTGTGTTGAGGTGGAAAAGGAGGAGCCGTAGGAGGGCCTGGCATGGAGTTCTGTGCTACGTTTGGAGGGCAAAATAGAGGTGATGCTCTTGGGTGCACTCAAGTTTGTATTGTGCACAGGTTTTTTTGTTTGCTTTATTTTGTTTTTGAAGAATGGAAATTATCTGTATGTGTACTTCAGCTTTGCTCTTGTTGCATCCAAACTTGTGCTTCTGCAAGCCTGACAGATGTGCACAGGTGTGAATCTTGGGTTTGTATCTTGGGAGCTGCTGTTGGACCGGGCTCAGAGCTTGGTTTCCTAACCAAGGTTGCAACAGATTATTCGCTGTATGAATTCATTAAGTCAGAATGGCTCTCAGCAGATCATGCTGTAGTTTAAGACAAGTATTTGGCTTTCATTAGGTGCAGGTAGGTGATCACAGTGTTTGGCGTTTTTTACTAACGTTAAAAACTGTTCTGGCTATGCTGAAATAGAATTACTGCTTATGCTGTCAGAGCTTATGCTTCTGTCAAGTCAGCAGGAGTGCCTTTGAACAGATCATCTCCTGGTGTCCAGTTGTTGATAGGCTTCTAGAATACCAATTTAGACATATCTGGCATTTTGTTCCAACTTTCTGGCTTGCTGCAGAAAAAGGTATTAGTAAAACCACAGCTGTGTCAAAGTGTGCCTTCAAGAAACGTATAGGAACACAGTATTAAAATCAGCAAGGGGGTTGAACTGGGTGATCCTTGAGGTCCCTTCCACCCCTGTGATGTTACTGCTGGTTTAAGGGCAGGTGGTTGAGTTGTGATTGCAGCCACATGACCTGCTCTGAGGGTGCATCCCTGAGCTTTTTCTTTTTCATACCATCCAAAGACTTTTTTTTTTTTTTGCCATTTTTCCATGGTCCATTTTTGATCATTTTGAAGGCTTTTCTTTTCCCATGCAGCCAGTTAGCAACAGTGTCCTTACACTGCTTTTGTCCTAAGTGCTGTTTCTTCAAGCAGATGCTGTGTTTAATTCCTAAGGAATACTAATGATCACCATTCATTACACTTGACAGCATTTCCCTGAGGAAAGTTCATTTCTTTATGGATGGCTTACTCCAGGGTGTTTTATTTTGATTGAGTTGAATCTCAGAAGTTTGGGAGGGCTTGTTGCTCTGAACTGAGTGTGTGAATTCAATTTATCATGTAATCTTGAGAACCTTCTTCCAAAGGAAAGTCTTATTGAATGTAGGACTCAGAAAAATAACCAAGTCTCAGGTAGTTATGTTTGAAAGGAAATTGTAGCATTTTACTCAATGAGTTTGCTCAATATTTATTAAATACAAGAATACTGTTGGTAGCCAGTTGTGAAGTTTCAAACCTTACAAGTGCTGATAGTAATTGCTAAATAACAGCATGAAAGGGCTGCACAGGAAACTTGCAAACATGAATGCTCAGCTTTCTGTACTGATCCATCACAACACAGAAATGATAGTTTTTGCCAATTTCTCGTTCTGCATGGCAGAATGGTAATTACCTAACATTTGTATGAGACTGGCTAATATTTATCACATTAGAAGCAGCAATGGAGGCGGAATGAGTGCAGCAGAAGAGCAGGCAGCGCCCGAGCTTGCATGAAAAACGATCAGTAGTTCCCTTCTGCATCCTTTGCACCTTGACCTTTCAGAAAGCTGCTGTCTCCTTCCAGCCCGTTATCCAAAACTGGCATCGTGGATCTCATCACTTGATCTTTTCTGCAGCTCACCACTGCAGCTTTTCAGTCACTGGGGCATGGGGGCCACTGTGTTATAAAATGCAGATCCTCATTTCTTTTCCACCTCTGCTGCTTTAGGTTGCATTGCAAGCTGCAGACTTGATAGAGCAACGTTTTCCTGGAGGCACTAAAATCAAAACGGGTGTTCACATGATGTTGTGGACCACTAAATACCAGAGGCAGTAAAGGTAAAAGTACAGTGAGCTGAAGAAACACCTTTGTTCTATAGGCTCTGAAGGTGGGTAGAGGAAAACAATAGGAGGAGCTGAAGAGAAGAGCTGGCATCAAGGTGGTAGAGAGCTGTTAACAACAATGTCATTCAGGTCTGCATCTAAATAAGTAACTATGATGTTCCTTATCCTACACTCCTGCCTGCATCTCCCCGCTCTAATCAATAGCTTTAATAAATAAATAAATAAATAAAAATTGAGCAAATGTAGTTGACTGTTTAGTCAGCTGACCATCCAGTTTTCTAGCAGAGTCCTGGAAGGCTTGAAGCCGGAAATAGACCAGGAAAAAGATTATTTTCTTGCTTGGAGCTCCTAAATCAACTTCTGTGTGGACTTTTTCTGTCTGAGAAGCTTCATCTCACCTCCTCACAGGGTCACACACATCATGCTGCTTTCACAGCCCTGAAGCTCAAGTTCCCACCACATCCCCTCTGTTCGTTTTTAGCAGGATTGGGTGGTGCGAGCCTCCTGCTCTGGCTGGCAGCTTCTGTTGTATCTAGATGATGTAACTCATAAGGAAGGTGTGGAATTGCTGCTTCTGTTCACTGACGGAGTGCTCTTTCCCTTTGCTGGACAGAACCAGCTACGGGACTTATTCTGCTTGTAAGATACCCCTGAGTAACAGCCTTTGGCTTTGCCCATTGTAATTGTTCTTTCTCACTTCCTTTCCCCTAGATGCAAATATGAAAATCCCGAAGCACACTTTGTTTAGAACTGTGCCAGAATCTTTGTGTCCCTAATGTGCAGACAGAAAGCCTCTCCCATGCAGCTTTTTCATGTTCTGCCTGTGAAGAAACGCTGCAGTATTGTTCCATCTCTGCCTGTGATCGCGGAGCTCCATCAGGACAGGACAGCTGATTTCTGCTTTAATTCTCATTAGCCTTCAAACTCGTGGGAAATGCTGCTCAAGTTGGAGCAGTCGGGTTGCTGCTGTTGGCAGTGCTGCCTCTTGGAGCTGCTGCTGGGAGCAAGGCAGAGAGCAGCACAGGGTAGGGCTGCTGGCAGCTTGCAGCAGGGCCCTTATAGCTGCCGTGGAGGAAATCTGTTCACAAATAAGGGATGTCCACTCTCTTACTTCATCCCCTTTGTTATAATTCAGGCAACATTCATTGCACTTGCACTGAAAACCAGTGGAGTTTGCTGTTAATGGGCACTCCTGCTTGGGGCTCAGCTCTGAGGATGCATTCTGTGTTGCAGCCACTCTCCATGCTGAGGCCCTGGGCTGATTCTTGTATTTTATTCAATCCTTCATACTTGCCATCATCACACAGCCACACTTTATTCTGCTTTAGAGCACTGGAGCTGTAATGTGCTGCCTGCAGTTCTTGCTCCAGGCTGCGTATGGCAGCCCTGCCTCTGCCTTGCTCGGAGCTATGGCATTGAAATCCCTTTGTCAAACTCTCCCACGCTATTCTTCACACATGTATTTTGCTGATCTGTAGCCTAAAGTACCGGGTTGGTATTTTCATATTTCCATTTATCTCTGTGCCTAAAGGCACCCAGCATCCCCGCAGGCTGATGAGGCTCTCTATGGATATTTAACATGCGGAGCTGGGGGTTGGATGCAGCCGACTCCTCCAGCAGGAGCAGGATGGCAAGATTTCGGTTGGATGTCAGGGGGAAGTTATTTGCTGTGAGAGTGGTGAGGTGCTGCAACAGCTGCCCAGAGAGGCTGTGGATGCCCCGTCCATCCCTGGAGGTGTTGAAGGCCAGGTTGGATGGGGCCCCGTACAGCCTGGGCTGGTATTGAATGTGGAGGTTGGTGGCCCTGCATATGGCAGGGGGTTGGAGATTCGTGATCCTTTAAGGTCTCTTCCAACCCGGGCCATTCTGTGTGTCTGTGATGGGGGCTTGGGAAATGGGGGGTGCTGCTGTTGTGCATCTGTACTTGCAGATGGGTGTGATACCGAGTGTAGTTGCAGATGAGTTTTAAAACGAGTCTAACTTCAGTATAAAAATAATGGATGTTTAGGAGACTGATATATATATATTTTTGTCTGTTGGACACAGCACATAGTTAATGAAGTTAGCCACTTCCAGGCGTTACACGGAGACTCCGACACCATTAGATGAAAGTTAGGTGTACATGACCGAGGTTTCTGGTCGTTCTGTGCGGGCAGTTCCTCGCACCGCCCCGTTCCCACGCGCGGCTTTTCAGCCTCGTCCTCGTCCGTCCATCCGCGCCGCCGTTCCCGCGCTGCGCTGCGGGGGGCGCCGCCGCCCCGAGCCGCCTGGGCGCCGCAGCGCCGGCCCGGAGGAAGGGAGGGGAGGGGAGGAGCGGCTCAGGTGCGAGCGGCGCTGGCGGGGAACGGAGCGGCGGCGGCCGCAGCCGCAGCACGGCGAGCGGGAGACCGCGGGCGGGCGGGCGGGCGGGCGGCGGCCGGCGAGGATGCGCGGAGGGGAGGCGGCTCTCCTCGGTGCCGTAACAAAGAAGCGGAGAAAAAAGTAACGGTTCTGTGCGCTCTCTGCCGCTCGTAGACGAGGGAATAACCGGCGATATTCTGCAATCCGAAGGACTTTGTGTGCGGCGCCGGGATGCGCGGCAGGAAATTAACTCCGACGGGAATGGTTTCTCTCAAAGTGCCGCGACAGGATTGGAGGAAATGTTTCTTTTCTGGCAGCTGAAATCCCTCCTGCGGTCGCAGCGAGGGCTGCCGAACGCACCGGGGACTTTTGCGGAGACTTAAAGCAGATGCCGGCGTTAATACCGGAATGACCTTGGGATCGGTGTGTGTGGATCCCTCACTTCCCCCCGCCGGGCTCCAGAACTCTCGGCTGAAGGCGGTTCTGGCATTTCTGGGGCCTTTCGGAAACCGCGAGTGTGTACAATTAATTACCTGCCTAACGATTCCGGAACTAATCGAGCATTTACTTAAAACTGAACCCAGAAGATGCTTTCTGTTAATGTTTGCTTTCTGCCCAGCTGCAAATACAGTGAGCAAGGTAACGTCCTGCAATTAGAAGAACGATTATTTTAAGCGGTTATTTATCACGCCGTTCACCTATAAACGTAGGAGCCCTAAAGCCACGTAGAAGATGAAGCAGAACAGCAGGATGATGGAGTAGTAAACAATGGCAGCTTTTCTGGTCAAATCAGCGTTTCGTTAGCATCGCAGCAGAATGCGGATGGAAGTTTCTGTCCCTGTGGTGTGGGGGTTTGTGAAATGATTCAGGTGTTGCTACAGAGGTGAGCGCTGCCATGGCCGGACCCGTGAACTCCCGAGCGCTGGGCTCTGCTACAGCAGAGCTCCCAAAGATGATGATTTTAAATTGCCGTTGCTGAAATAGAATTCAAGAGGATTTATTTTGTCTGTGGGGACCTTGAGGTATGCTTCTGGCATTGATAATTGTAACAGACGATAACTGTTTAAAGGGATTGTGAACACTGACAGAAGTCTCCAAATTCTATTCTTAAAGCATTTTGATCTTTAAATGAATAGACGCAATCTTCCTCGTTGTTTGTGAGATGTATGCTTGCTTCCTGGGCAGTCAGAGGACAAACCTGCCTTGTCCCCCGCCCGCCTCCCTCCAAATAAAATTCATTATTCATACCCAAACGGTGGTGAGTCTGTTGGAATTAACCTTGACAAAGTGTTTTCCTTACCTTCCTAACAAATAGCGTGGATAAGACGGAGTGCCATCTCCCAGACGGAGACAGAAAAGGCAGCGTTAGATGATGAACTTTTTCCTTTACTCTCAAGTCACTCTGATTTAAACTGAGACGTTAAAAGATGACCTCTAGCACCTGCTGGTCCAGGAACCCTGAGCTGTGCCGAGGTTCCTCCTTCCCCTCCCTCCTCTCACCCCGCTGCGTTCCAAAGTCAATGACTTTCTCAGGAAAATAAAAGTCAGATATTTCCCCTCTCTCCCCTCCCCCCGCCACTTACCCTGGGGAATGAAGGTGGCTCTTCAGATTTATTTCCCTGCTTCATGGTACCTGCTTGCTTTAGAAGTGCCTTGTGTTTGCTAAAGATTGGTCAAGAGCACTGGAGCAACTGATCAGTGGCCTTTCTCTTTCTGGCTTTTTTTTTTTTTTTTTCCCCCTTCTTTCTTTCTTTCTTTCTTTCTTTCCTTAAAGCTAAGGCGTGCCAGAGGTGATGCGCTGATGCTGAGGAGCATCAACAGCTGTGGGACAGTAGAACCCTCCCAACTGTAAGCACTGGCAGCAGGAGAGACCGTGGGACACTGGAGCAGTCCGGCTGCCGCTGAGCGGGTCACCTGCCTGCTGCCTGCAGTCACAGTGATCCCACCACAAAACATGAACCGGTCGCGATGGGTTGAATGGAGGACTCTGAATATGAGCGGTAGCGTGGTGAACCTGTCTGAGCACCTCTCCTGCCCTCTGGGAATTGGTCACTACAACGCAGTCGACATCTGTATCCTCGAGACAGTTGTTATCGTCCTGCTCACCTTCCTGATCATTGCGGGTAACCTGACTGTTATCTTCGTTTTCCACTGCGCCCCGCTTCTGCACCATTACACCACCAGCTATTTCATTCAGACCATGGCCTACGCCGACCTTTTTGTTGGAGTTAGCTGCTTGGTCCCCACGCTGTCCCTGCTTCACTATTCAACAGGCGTCCACGAGTCCCTGACGTGCCAAGTTTTCGGATACATCATCTCCGTGCTGAAAAGCGTGTCCATGGCATGTCTGGCTTGCATCAGCGTGGATCGCTATCTCGCCATAACAAAGCCTCTCTCCTATAATCAACTGGTCACACCTTGTCGCTTGAGAATCTGCATCATTTTGATTTGGATATACTCTTGCCTGATCTTCTTGCCTTCCTTTTTCGGCTGGGGAAAACCTGGTTACCACGGAGACATTTTTGAGTGGTGTGCTACCTCCTGGCTAACTAATGCCTACTTCACTGGCTTTATCGTCTGCTTACTGTACGCTCCTGCTGCCTTTGTCATCTGTTTCACGTACTTCCACATCTTCAAGATCTGCCGGCAGCACACCAAAGAGATCAACGATCGGAGGGCTCGGTTTCCCAGCCACGAAGTGGATGCTGCTGGGGAGACGGGGCACAGCCCTGACCGCCGCTACGCCATGGTGTTGTTTCGGATCACCAGCGTGTTCTACATGCTGTGGCTTCCCTATATCATATACTTCCTGCTGGAGAGCTCTAGGGTGTTGGAGAACCCCGCGCTTTCCTTCTTAACAACGTGGCTTGCTATAAGCAATAGTTTCTGCAACTGTGTGATCTATAGCCTCTCCAACAGTGTTTTTAGGCTGGGACTACGGAGACTGTCAGAGACCATGTGTTCATCTTGCACGTGTTTAAAGGACAGGGATGTACAGGACCCTAAACCAAGGAAACGGGCTAATTCCTGTTCCATTTAAAGAACACCGGCGCGTGCCATCAGATGTGGAGCTTTGATAGCGTTTGCTGTATCTGGGAACTTACCAGAGGAGAAATGTTTACTTGAATAGTTTGCTATGCTGTTAGAGATGAGTTTAAAAGTGCTTTTGGGAAAGAAAAGGCTGCTGTAAGAGGGGTCGCTGGACTCTGACTGTAGCTCTGAAATTGTGAGCAGAGCCATTCAGCAGAGACAACAGAGAAAGTCAGAACTTAAATCTTCCAAAGGGCATGATGCAGCTCCTGCATGGCAGGAGAGTCCTCACAAAATAAACGAGTTAGTTACTACCTTCTCTTTTCTCCCTCGTAGAAAAGTTGTCTTACTATCTTTGTGTCAGAATATACTGTAGCCTTCTGAATTTAAGTATATTTACGAGGAAGCAATCAACTACACAGTAAGTGGCTATCCGTAAATTATATTCCTGAGGACTTGCAGTAGATGTTGCAGATCAATAACCAGCTCTGTCTCTGCTCACACCTGGTACCATTTTCAGTTACACAGACAATCTGCAGTGCATACAACCTACGCAGGGCGTGATGCTTTTTGGATAAAAGGGCACATTCTGCTACAACCAAACCTCCCCCTCTCATTTCCTTTTATTTCCACCCCCTCTGCCCCTTCCATCCCGTGCATCTTTAGATCCCATCGTGTTGCAGGGGTTTAGTTTGAGGGCACCTACGAGGTAAGCTGAGTAACTGCAGCTGCCCGCCTGTAAGGACTTCTTCTGTCTTTCATTCTCTCGATCCTGCTAAATTAGCACACGGTGTTGATGTAATGTCCTTTAGGGTGTACTAAAGCTTTTCCCTTATTGTCTACACAAATAATCCTAACGCAGATATGGTATTCGCACACAGCAGTGCGCATCACTGCTTAGAAAATTAAAAATAAGTAACGAAACCTTTTCTTTTGGAAGTCTAGCTTACTGTTGTGGCTGCCAATCCTTTGTGTGAACCTAGCTTGCACATCCTGTATTCTTTTCAGATTACTTTTTTTTTTTTTTAAGAGAAAATGTAAGCTGTGGTCTGTGCCTAATGTTTTCCTAGCACATGGGATAGGTCAGTGCTACAGGATTAAAACACTGCACTCATTTTAAGAGAAATCCTTCTGTGCAGTTGTTGAATAGATGTTTGTCAGACAAGCTCTTGGAGAAGGTGAACAAGGCAGTTTGGTATCAAATACAGGCAATGAGCTTCAGTATTTCCTTTTGTAGTGAACTGACTTTCAGGTCCACTGACTAAATCTTTTTTATTTCGCAAGGGCACACATTGGGTTTGTGAAATAAATTGCCAGGGGTTCAGATGCATGCCAGTCGATAAAAGAAATTATTATTTTGAACCAAATGTAATTTTCTTAGATGGTTATTGGCTTTTAAAAAAGGCCCAATTATTGATTATTGGTGCCTTTTAACACTGCACTATGATTCCTCCTTTCACCAAAACGCATATGTAATATCGTGCCTATTACTTTTTGTAATGGAAGCTAACCACGTTTGCACACTTGTGGTTTGACTCTAGATCTCCCGTACTGATGTACTCTCTGTTTTGTGGAGGTGGTTCTGAACCCCTGTACGTTTCTAAACCTGTAAGAAAGATGAAACAATGGAATAAAGTAGTATTATGTATATCAAACCCAGCCTGATTGTAGTTCCCTGATGTTACGCTCTCTTCTCTGTGCAAGTTCTTCTGGGTTCCAGCGACCTTCCGAAGGACTTTGGAATTGCCCATTTAAAATCCCGAACTAGGACTGCTTGGTTTCTGTCCTCAGTGTTTGTACACTGGTTTCTGTCATCACACAGCCTTTAAAGCAGATTGAAATATGACTTGAAACATTCCTCTAGCTAAACCGAGCTGTTGCTGATGATTATCTCTGACAGATACTATGGAGAAGCGAGTAGCGTTCTTTGCACGTACTCATGTCTGTGGCAATGTGTGTATTGCCTTCTTTAGAGAAGCTGCTGTTTACTTCAGAAGTCTCCTTGGCTGCTCCAGAAGGTTGTTCAACCCTGTCTCACCTCAAAAACCAGGCCTGTATTTGTGCTCTCTGTGGTGATGTACTTACTTTCCTGCCTGGTTAGGTTCTCGGTGCACAAGATTTGGCCAACAAGTGGGGAAATGCCTCATTCCTCCCAGCTCGTGTGGTTGGTTTCAAGCCAATGAAATAGTTCTGCATTTGTGCTCAGGGCTTTGTTGGCATTTCCAGTAAGAGGTTTCGGTGTGACCTTTGGAAATCCAAGGAGAGTTCTAGGAAATCCTTGTAGCTGACCGAACCTTTTATTAAAAAGAAGAAATCCAACTTGAAGGCACCAGGTGCATATTTATGCGGTGCTGTAGCTTTGAACATGCTGAGATACACGAGCTAGCTCATTTGTATCAGTTGAACCCTGCTGAACCCTGCTTGTGCAGCCCTGTAGGATTGATGCAGCAGCCCATGGGGCAGGCAGCAAAACCTCTCCCCCATGTGCTGAGCTGGCACGTGGCACTTCCCTGGGTCCTCAGGCTGGTGTTGAAGGGACAGGACCTGGCAGAAATCCCCTACTCTGCATATGAACTATAGGTACCCAGGTTCCTTGCTTTCTTTTTCTTTGAATCTCAATATAACAGTAGTGCAAGAGCGCTGACTTGTGTATCTGAAGCCAGAATTTCACTCACTCCAACCTGTTCTGTGTAAACCTGGAGTATGTCAAATTATCCGCAGCCAAGTTCAAGCCTTTGCTTCCTGGTGCTGTTCCCTAGGTGACAGAATTTGACATGGTGGTCAGTCACATGAATTTTTAAATTTAGTAAGTGTGTTTCATTTTCTTGCAGTGCTTTTTAAACTCATGATTTCAAATGTTATCGAAGGGAGGTTTGTTGCTGTTTTACTGATGCTGTCTGAAGACTCCAGCTGGTGCTGAATTCTCTTCCAGAAATGATAGGGCTGGATGTTTTGGTGGGTTTAAAAAAAGTCCAGTAGAAATTTCACTCTCCTGACCTGTCAGTTTTGATTTTCAGTCTGTCTTTATTATATAAAGTTTCATGATCTTGTCTTAAAAGGCAAGAGAACCCCAATCGTGCAGTGGCAGCCAAAGTGCCACCAGAAAAGCGACTTTCTCTTCACCGAGTACCACGTGCTGCTTTATTTCCTGAAACAGCCAGGTGATTTCCCCTTAAAATACTCTTTACAGAGCAAGAAAATGGTGGTCACGAAAAGCATAAGGCGGTGTTTTAAATGCTTTCTTATTGATTTTCTCCTAGTAAGATTTTTTTTTTCCCCACTTCTGCTTACAAACACATCTTGTGATTGTACTTGGTAAAGCACGAGGTGTCATGCTAGGTTTATTTTTGGGCAGAATCTTTGTGTGTCCTCTGCTGAACAGTTCACTGTTCTTTAATGAGCCGCCTTTTGTGGTACAGTTTATGAAGACCTTTTAAAAATAGCATTTATTTTGTTCTCCCAAATATTTTACTGCATTAGTGTTTGCCAACTGAATATCTAGCCGTGCTTTGTTTTCACCCTCAGCAAAGCTAGTAAAAATGGCTTTTTTTGGTAAATTGACGTGCCAGTCAATATTAGAAATTGGTTGTTGAGAATCATGGATCGACGCAATGATTTGCAGTTTCATTAGCTTATCATTCTGCATAAGACAAGCGGAGTTTCAATACGAACAAAAGACAGTTGCTGTGATGGGATATCAAGTTGATGGGAAATAGTTTGTATACTATCCCACGGCTGGTTCTCAACATGGAACTCTTTCATCTTTCCATATTACATATTGATTCTATGATTCTTTGATACACTTGTAGCCCAGCCAGCACATCTATGGATTTTTGTGCTGCTATTTGAATGTCTGTATTCTGCCTTGGGGTGCTGCTGCAGTGGGAAGAAGCCTTTGCCAGCAGCAGCTCGACTGGTGCTGCCTTTGCAGGGAGGGAGGAGTGCGCGATGTTTGCTAAGCCAAATACAAAGCTCAAATAAAACCTGTTTTTTTCCCCCTATTTAACTTATACATCTCAATTTTTTTTGTAGTGTATACTGACTACTTTCTCCATTCGATAGCCAGAAAATCCTTCCAGAGGACATGAGTGGGGCTCCACGGGCCTGAGGCACTAATAAGGCAGTGCATGAGCAGAGGAGAGGCTGCTGAGGGCACTCTTCCTCAGCAGAGCCTTAAGGAAACACTGCCAACCACTCATCTCACCTTCACATCCACCATTTCTCTGGGCGTTTCCTTTATCAAAGTACTGCGAATGACACGAGCATGTAGAAGGAGGCCCTCGTGCTTTCAGCTGTGCTGGCAGCAAGCTGGGAAATGCTATTTGAGGCCATGGAAATGCCTGCAGATCTTTGGGATTTTATCACCATCTTACCCTGCCTCCTGCCAGACGTAACCCTCCTGAGAAGGATGTGGCAGAAACACTGCGGGCGTTTCGTGCTCATCACCCTGCAGCTCGCTGTGAGCAAAGCACAGATGGTTCTGATTGAAAGGAAGCTTCTATACATGCAGTGATTGCCAGGAAAAGAGATTTTACTTTGGTGTTTGCCCCGGCCCGTAATCTAAGTTTTGTGAGCTTAGAGCTTTTGTGATATTAGAAAAATGGACAAACTGAAGTTTTTGAGGAGGATCAGAGATGTCAGCATTGAGGGCATTTCTGCATCTTGACGATACTGCTTTTTGTTTCTGCCTTTTCTTGGCATGGAATACATCTGCCTGTTGTCTGGTTTTTCTTCTGTAAATTATTTGAATAAGCTCTAATGCTTCACGGATGAAGTCCAGGTAATGAAGTATTTGCATGACAGGTTGGACTTGGGAAAGTGTGATGGAGTGACAGAGAGACAATGAGGTGCATCCCTCATAGAGCATGCAGGTATTTCACATTTCCCGTGCGTTAGGTAGGAGAGTCTTTGAATACCTGCATCCAGTGAAGGTTTCTGCCCTTGAATGATCTCTCAAGTGTTATTTATACTTGGGCATGTATTATTTAAAAGCTGCTCTTGTGTGATGTTCAAATTTATAATTGTAAATGGACAGATGATGTTTCCAGCGCTCAGGCGGATCCGTTCTGACCTCTGCAAGAGGTCTGCTGCAGCCCCAGGCTCTTAATGCTTATTAACTGGTGGCAGCATGCAGCTTCTCGTTAGCAGCTGTACCGGGGTGGTGGGGCTGGGAGCTGTGCAGGGAGCAGGAACTGCTGGGGCCTCGGCTGGGCTCTCCTGGTACGCTGTGCAGGGCAGCCAGCCTGGGGCTTTGGGGGCCAGGCACTGCTTGATGCTGCTGTGGTACTGGATGTCTCTGCTTTATTTGTGCTTAAATGACGAGCATCAAATCTTAAGGCGTTTGTGTCCTTTTGCAAGATGTATTCTCTCCTATTTCCTATCCCTATGGATCCTTTTCAACGCAGCTTGCCATTTAAATCTCTGATTCATGCTCACTGACTAAACCTGGGGCGGTTTAAATTGTTCCAGCAACAGGATGAAGCAGGGCCCTGCCTCGCCTCCTTTCCCTCAGCAGTACTGGGCTCCTCTGTCATCCCACCCTGCACCCTGAGAGCTGCGGGGGCTCCTGTTGGACTGGGCTGCATGAAGGTGATGTGCCCCAAAAGCGGTGGGACAGGTTGCTGAAGACAGCAATGCTTTCCATGGCCTCAGCAAGGTTTTTGCAGGAGGCTGTGGGTTAGAATCTTTAATGGCGAGCAGTAAGTTAAAAATAAACATTTCAAGGAGAGATCCGTGTGATGAGAGTAATGAGTTGTTGTTAGGTCAGGAACAGATTGGTCTCCTTTCCACCTGTGCCCTCAATAGGGGAGCAGGATCATAAAATAATTGCGTTATAACCAGGCAGATTTTTGCTCTCCGGTTTCTATAATGCTCATGCAGCTTGTATGCATATACATACGTGTACACTTAAGGATTGCAAATGGTTATAGAACAGCAGGTTTCTGTGGGAGCTTTCTCTTTGTTTCAAGGGCTTTGAAGACTGCTTTGTGGCTGGAGTCAGATAAGTGCAGTCTGTGCTGAAACAACCAGAGCCAAACCAGCAAGCAGGCTGTCAGGGAAAGGCCTTTACCCCCACGCTGCTGTCTCTGGAGTACTGGCTACTTAATGTTTTCCAGGCAGTAACTCGGAGTGGTTTATGAAGATGGCATAAAACATTTTAAAAAATCTAATAAATACAGATGTAATTCCATGCTATCATGACAAAATTATTTTTAATATCTTTAATTTTTCAACTCAGGACTTAAGGAGACCGTACTTTCTGTTATTTAGCATCTCAGGAAGAAGCAGTTAATTAGTATCCTTTGCTGACTTTGCTTTATTTCTGTGCTTGATCTCTGCCTTTTTTAAATTTTATTTGAATACAAATTTTAAATTCAGTTTTGCTGATACTTAGATATGTTCTTCACTTCTGTAAAAGCCTTTACGAGGATAGGAGAGGGAGCTTCAAAGGAGCTGTGTCTAGTCCTAGGTCTACTTAAGATGTATTCTGTGCTATCAAAACAAAGTTGCTGCTGTACCTTTTTAACTAGAATTCGGATGTTTTGGCAGCAAGCCTCAAGCACAAGTGCCAGATTCTCCCAGCTTTTTCTTTTGGGCTGAAATATGATGTGTCACTGCTTTTATTTGCGAATTTACACATAAAGAAACTGTTTGG